TTGTAGGTACACCACGTAAGTATTAAATACTGCAAAGCTTTCGGTCCGTTAACCCGGACCTTCATCAGTGCAATTACTTGAATACACGTTTGCGCGTCACTTAAATATCATGTTAGTCGTGATTAGTTTGCTCGCGCTATTAATTAAACGGTTTCATTTAATTAAGTTCTAACTAATGCGCGCGCCCTAGAAAGCAGGGCGCGCGCATTAGTTAGAACTTAATTAAATGAAACCGTTTAATTAATAGCGCGAGCAAACTAATCACGACTAACATGATATTTAAGTGACGCGCAAACGTGTATTCAAGTAATTGCACTGATGAAGGTCCGGGTTAACGGACCGAAAGCTTTGCAGTATTTAATACTTACGTGGTGTACCTACAAGTTATTATAATAACTCTAGTTTTGTTTTAAGAACCATAGCGAGCTATTATTGTGCTGATTATGCAGACAGTTTTCATAATATACAGTATATTATAATATAGCGTTCAAAATGTAAACATGGCGTTTATTAATTTACAATGCTGCACATTCGTTTCTCGATATCGCCCAAATTTGCACGCTACTGCATCGGCTTATTCAGATGTTTTAAGAATTTTTATATAAGTTTACTAGAAGCTTTTTTGTAAAATTACTGCATGATTTCTTAGTGGGTCACTTTGACATGTGCTTTGACAAAAACAACTCGCCTCCTTTTTAAAAAAATCTCGGTGCAATTTTTCATGCAACTTGGAATGCAATTCTACTTTTAAGAAATGTAAATTGGCATCCACCAAACTTTTGTTTTTATTATACTCCATGGCGCTTCTTACACTAACATTTTAAAGACTAATTGCAATGCAGGTTGCAGGAAAAATTGCACCGTGCATGTGTCAGTGCCTTAAGTGATTGATAATTGATAACTTGAAGTCCCTCGAACAATCTATTAAAGGTTTTGTAATTATTCTAAAATAAGATATCATGAAAGAAATTACCTGTTCATGGCAGGCAAGCTTAATTTATACCGTGACAATAACCCAATAAGCAATAAGTATATAACAATCATTAAAATTTTAATAACGAATATTTCATTCGCATTATAATACTCATGCAGTGTTTATTGCTTCAAATGTTTACTCATGTTTGATCAAGAACACTTATCTCATCATACAATGGCGTTGTTATTTTTATTCATTGGCAAGAATTTTCAGGTGTATATTATCGCTATATAAACGTGCAGTTATGTCAGGATTTGGTTGCACTAGTCGCACGCCGAAAACATAATCGTCTAAACTCAATTTTCCTCCCAATTTTATTATTCTTTGTGCTGTTCAATGTTAAAGTCAATTAAGTAGAAATATATTGAAGTATATGAATAATCATGCTCTTGAAGATGTCAAGCTTTGAAAACCATACTTAAATTTTTCAATATTGTAAAAATGGCATTATTAGAAATTCATGAATGTTTTAAAAACGTGTGATGCCTAAAAATATTGCCTAGATCTCGAATGTGAATATACTTGACCCATTTCACCGACCCAACTTAGTTCAGCAGGCTTTATTAAAAGTGCGAAGGAACAAGTCGGCGAGAAAAAAATAATGCAACAAATATTATTATAATAATAATCAGTCTGTCATATTATAACAGACGTTGACCGGTTTTACAGAATTTTTCGATCTCCAACTTTTAAGTTAATCAGCAAGATTATATACATTAATGACATCCGGTTGAATGTTTAATTTCTTCTCCTCAGCGACGTAATTTTCCAAGTACTAGACAGCCAGCCACGCTCGATCGTCTACACACTACACCGTAAATTTCTAATAGTGTGACCTGAAGAAGATATAAAGCGAAGCTTATAAATAAAACGGCCGTTATTTAAAACTTTATGTACAGTATTTGTAATTGGAGGACAAGCGAGAAAGTAGCGTCTCTAGCGACGACAAAATAGCCTCGCCATCTCGTGACCTAATTCAACAAATAAATTCTTGAAGCATTCCTTTCATCATAATATTGCTTTTATCTAGCAGCCTTATCTTCGTCACTCGCAATTCGAGCCTCTTCGCCTTTCGACATAAAATAAAATAATTGTGCTCCCGAACTGTGCGTTTGTAATACAACGCGCTAATATCGCATATCATTAACATTCCAAAAGTTGCTCCTCCACTGATGGAATGTGTTGCTGCGCGGAATATATGCGCAGAACGGACTTTACCTCATTTTTAAGTGATTACCACTTGGTATTCCGAAGTTGCTCAAACAGACTGATTATACTATTGTGATTATACTAAAATAAAATAACATGAATAATTCACTCTTTTATTACAGGCAAGCTTAAGACAATTATAATAACTTGTAGGTACACCACGTAAGTATTAAATACTGCAAAGCTTTCGGTCCGTTAACCCGGACCTTCATCAGTGCAATTACTTGAATACACGTTTGCGCGTCACTTAAATATCATGTTAGTCGTGATTAGTTTGCTCGCGCTATTAATTAAACCGTTTCATTTAATTAAGTTCTAATCAATGCGCGCGCCCTAGACAAGTATTTGACTAAGAGACACCGAAAAGAGCACGCCACGTACTATTAAGTGGCTTTCCCTCTTGGACGATAGTTTGATGTTTATAAATTTCAATAGATTCTCTCATTTTACGAGAGACAGTAAACTTATCGTTTGCTAAAATGGTAGCATCGTTCCATTTAATGCGATGATCATAAGTCCACGCATGGTGAGCTACTGCAGACTTATCCAGTTTACCTTTCTCGCAGTTCGTCTTATGTTCTTTAAGACGTATTGAGAGATTTCTACCGGTTTCTCCAATGTAAACCAAACCACATTCACATGGAATGCGGTACACACCAGGTTTCTGTTGTTCATCGACGCCATCCTTGTGTGTGTAAAGAGCGCGAAACAATTTGTTATTGCTAGAATGGTAAACTTGTATTCCAACTTCTTTTAAAATCCTAACGATTTTATATGAAGCTGGGCCAATATATGGTAAACAGACAGAGGATAGATATTCCGTGTCTTGCCTCTGTCTTTGCTGTTCATTCATAGCATGTTCTATGAATTTCTTAGGATAACCATTCATGTGCAGAACATCCTTCAAATGCTTTAACTCTGAGTCAATGCTATTTGAATCACAAATTGTTTTGGCACGGTTGATTAATGTTTTGCATACTGATCTTTTAATGCTAGGATGGTGAAATGAACTATAATTCAGATATCTGTCAGTGTGTGTTGGTTTTCTATAAACTTTTTCATTTCACCATCCTAGCATTAAAAGATCAGTATGCAAAACATTAATCAACCGTGCCAAAACAATTTGTGATTCAAATAGCATTGACTCAGAGTTAAAGCATTTGAAGGATGTTCTGCACATGAATGGTTATCCTAAGAAATTCATAGAACATGCTATGAATGAACAGCAAAGACAGAGGCAAGACACGGAATATCTATCCTCTGTCTGTTTACCATATATTGGCCCAGCTTCATATAAAATCGTTAGGATTTTAAAAGAAGTTGGAATACAAGTTTACCATTCTAGCAATAACAAATTGTTTCGCGCTCTTTACACACACAAGGATGGCGTCGATGAACAACAGAAACCTGGTGTGTACCGCATTCCATGTGAATGTGGTTTGGTTTACATTGGAGAAACCGGTAGAAATCTCTCAATACGTCTTAAAGAACATAAGACGAACTGCGAGAAAGGTAAACTGGATAAGTCTGCAGTAGCTCACCATGCGTGGACTTATGATCATCGCATTAAATGGAACGATGCTACCATTTTAGCAAACGATAAGTTTACTGTCTCTCGTAAAATGAGAGAATCTATTGAAATTTATAAACATCAAACTATCGTCCAAGAGGGAAAGCCACTTAATAGTACGTGGCGTGCTCTTTTCGGTGTCTCTTAGTCAAATACTTGTCTAGGGCGCGCGCATTGATTAGAACTTAATTAAATGAAACGGTTTAATTAATAGCGCGAGCAAACTAATCACGACTAACATGATATTTAAGTGACGCGCAAACGTGTATTCAAGTAATTGCACTGATGAAGGTCCGGGTTAACGGACCGAAAGCTTTGCAGTATTTAATACTTACGTGGTGTACCTACAAGTTATTATAATTACTAAAGTCGCCATGCAATCATACAAGAAAATTATTAAGCTTAAGACAGTTACCCATTAAGCAATAAAGAGATAACAATCATTAAAATTTTAATGACAAATAGTTGGCCATGGGAGTTAGGTCTGTAATATTCCATGTCAAAGTACAGCATGAAGAGTAGTGTTGTATTTATTACATGCATGTCTAGTTTAATGGATATTGATAATCAAAGTAAGGTTTATAGTTACGGAAACCACTGAATATTTCTATGCCACACAACAAATTCCATCATCAATCTGATATGTTCAAAGTGTTCACATGATTTTATATGAGCGTAAATCTCATACGTGAAAGCTCATGCAGAGATTTACGCTTATATAAACTCATGTGAACACTTCAAACATATCAGTTGATGGAACTAACAGCTGATGACACAAACAGTATAAACAATGACTTCACACAACTTTTTTTTAAAATTGCAAGATAATTCATAGGTCAGACCATTGATCTTCGTAATAAGCCGACTAAAACCAGGTCTTAACCACGGTGCTAAGTGCTTTGGTTGGCGTTTCCAGTCCCGACCTGTCTTTTGAATTGTCTATGATCTCATACGTGAAAGCTCATGCCGAGATTTACGCTTATATATAAACTCATGTAAATACTTCAAACACATCAGATCGTTGATGGAACTCACAGATAATGACACTAAAGCCTGTTTTCCACTAGGCGACTTTTTTCGCGCGACGCGACTTTTTTCGTCATGAGCATGCGCACTGCAGTCAACGGGGACTTTTTTCCTGGAATATTATCGCGCCGCGCTCGCTGAAAAAAGTAGGATCATGTCCAACTTTGTTCGCGCGAAAAAGGAGCGAGAGAGGAATTGACGAAATTTCTTTTTCAAAACATGGACGATACAAGTAGTCTTTTGCTTGAGAAAATAGATGTACAATGTCTGGAAGAGCTTAATTTACGCCAAGCTAAAAGCCGAAACGATAGTGGAGAAACAGGCGACAGTGCAGAAGAGTCTCCAGAAACGGAGAATAATGAATTTGACAAGGAGTTTTTCCTCGAAGAAGTGCGAACACTATCTTGTCTTTGGAACACAAGTCTCAGCACATATAAAGACCGAACAGCAAAGGCCAACGCTTGGAAGAAATTATCAGAAATTCTTAACAGAGATGGTAAGGAAACTGGAAACTTTGTTTTATGGTTGGACTCTAAAATTTCAAGCAATTTTTAAAAATTAATAAAGCTCACAAAGACACAAACAGAATGAAGTATATTTCTTTATTAAAGCTATAAAGTATTTCAGTATTTTGTGTCTTGGTTTTATATCATAAATTAAATTTAATGTAAAATAGTAAAATTAACTTAATATATTATATAGGCATAACTAATAGAATATCAGTTGTTTCAGTCCAATTTGTGATCTATAGCTGTATTTTATCCATATTTTTGGCTTGAGATGTTTTAACTTTGTCAATGTGTGTTGCATAAATGCATGATAGCTGAACTGATATTAAATACCCAAACCCAATTTAAGTACCCAATAATATTTATATTATTGTACTTTTTATATTTTAGTTGATTTGTTTCAAAGACAGCTGAAGAACCTGAAGGACAACCTAAAAAAGTGCCTCGACAAAAGGTCAAAAATGACAAGATCTGGAGCGACTGCATCCTGCCTGCCAATGTGCCGTTACTTTGAACAAATGGCATTCCTGTATGGTTGTGTAGGAAATAGGCCAACTGAAAGCAATCTAAATGCTATCTTGTCCCCCCTGCTGATACTATAACAGTGGAAGGCAGTTCAAGTGGGTGCACTCCAACCAAAGATGTACCCACCACTTCAACAAGAATGCAGACAACAGAAGCTGCAAGGGCACACAAGCGTCCCCTCAGTTCTGAACTCTTTTCAACCAACAGAAGTGGAAACAGGATGAATAGAGATGTGGTAGAACTCATGCTTTTAAAGCAATTAACTGACAGTGATGCCATGTACAAGAAAATGACTGAAGAGGATGACGACGAAGATTCATTATATTGCCGAAGCCTTGTACCTATTATGAAAGGATTGCCTGATAAAAAAAGAAGGCTGGCTAAAATAAAGATCAGTCAATTGTTGTTTGAAGTAGAATTTGATGATGTTGCTTAGGTATTGTAAAGTTTAATTTCTTGAGGGGTGTTTACATGAGCTCTACAAGGAGGCAAACCCTAGCAGTAGGGCTGGATTTCATCTTGCATTTACATGAGACAGAATTGAATATTGTTGTGTAGTCTAACTTAAGAAATAACCAACAGAAATTTGAATATTGTGTTAACTTAAGTGGGATGTTGCCCAGCAAGGTCAGCCCTCCCTGTATGGGCTCATGTAAACACCCCCTTAATTTATTATCAACAGTTTGTTATTTATATATATATATTTATAAAAATTTTTTACCAAAATATATGCAATAATTTAACATGTATATAGTTATAAGAATGTTCAAATTTTACAATTTTTACAAGTTACAATTTGCCTTTACAACATTATTTCAGGCTCTTGTTACAGTTGCCCATTGCCAGTCTATTGCCCCTTCTTTCATAAAATAGTCTTTATAATCATCTCGCACTTGCTTGGCGTTTCTTGAGTAGTTATTTGAACACATACGTGTAATGGGTAACAGATCATCTGAGCTTCCATTCCTTCTCCACTCACCAGGAATTGTACCAAAGGAACTTTCTTGATCGACATAATTTGGTGGGCAGTAGCTATAAGAATTGTTTCTTTGACTTGACTTCATTAAGAAGTTGTGCAAAGCAACAACAGCTTTGGTAATAAGTACAACCCTAAACCGTGTAGCTGTGATACCAAAAGCGTTCTCAATTACTCTTCAAGCTCTTGAGAGCCGGTAATTAAAAATCCTCTCAGCTACAGGTAAATACTGATCAGGGTAGGGTTTCATCATATTTGTTTTAAGACCAAAAGCATCATCTGCTAGGAAAACATATGGAAATTTTTTACTTGGAGAAATGAATAAAGACTCTGGCTCAGGAAAATCCAGCAAATCATCTTGTATTGCACGCCCAAGGTAACTGTTTGCATTTACACTGCCGTCAGATTGTCTGCCAGTATCACCAACATCCACCAAGGTGAACTCATATCGGGCATTGCAAACAGCCAGCAAGACGATACTGTGAGTTTTTTTGTAGTTAAAGAAAGTTGACCCTGAACGAGCAGGTGCCTGCATCACAACATGCTTGCCATCCAATGCCCCAAGGGCATGAGGAAAGTTCCACCTCTGTTCAAACTCTTGAGAGATTTTTTTTTGCACTCTTTCACATCTGACGGTACACGTAAAAACCCTTGTTTAGAAAGACAATGCCATAATACATCGCAAGTCTCTTCAATTATCCGGCCAATTGTTGTGGGACTGATACGATAATTCGCAGCTATTGTCGTTTGTGCGTCGCCAGTTACAAGATATCTGAGGGTTACGCCTAGTCTTTCGTCCGGAGGGATAGGTTCCCGCATTTTTGTGGATTCTTTCTTTATTAACGGTGCGACCCAAGATAGTAAAAGCTCAAACATACCGGGAGACATCCTGAACAGACGAAAAAAATACTCGTGGTCTGACAGCATTAATTCTCGTACAAGAACGTTAAATTCACCCTTTGACTTGCGTTCATCGTAAACTTTTCTCACCCAGAATCTTTTCTTGTATTTTACACGTTGCCTTCGCTTTCTTAAAAGCAGCAAAATCACAATTCTTCGTCTTAAAATCCAGCGTCTATTTAAAGCTGCCATGTTTGTTTTTCTTGTTTGCAACACTTTTTGACCAGTCGTTTGGCTGATTCGCCAGTTTGCGCTCGCTTATTGGCCCGCTCAGTGGAAATTGCAAACATTGATCGCGCAAACTGTTCTCGCGAAAAAAGTCGCGTCGCGCGAAAAAAGTCGCCTAGTGGAAAACAGGCTTAACAGTATAAACACTGACAGAATGACTTATAACACAAATTATTTTTTAAAATTGCAAAAAAATTCATAGGTCAAACCATTGATCTTCGCAATACGCCGACGAAAACCAGATTTTAACCACGGTGCTAAGGCTTCCAAAGGACTGATCATATTTCAAAGACATTATCGAGTTCCTCCTTCTCAACTATATATATATATATATCCCAGAATTTGTAATATTACCCTAATCTATCCCGATGATGACTACAAGCTAGTTGAAATGTAGATAGAATAAAACTACAAAATGTTACTTCGAGTTACTGTTCTATTGTATTTTATAAAGTCAACAGATTTTACGAATCACATCAGGTTTGATGTTACATTTCTTATCCCCAGCAACGTAATTTACCAGTGTGTGATAACCACGCTCATCTTCACCGTGTAGTACACCTGTATCGCCAAATCTCAGTTCAGTAACAGGCAGCGTGCGTTTGTCTGTCAGGTATCCACTGTCTTCACGCCATGTCCAATAATTCTCGCCACAATTACATTTTCTTCTACCTGCACAGCTCTTGGTCATTCCACATGAACATTTTCCACTGTCGACTGCCGCTCCACCCCAGTAATTCATCTTTGAACCTTGACGTGATACCAACCAACCATAGGAATCTGTCAAAAAAACGCTACCAAAACATTTATATTTAATAAATTAGTTTATCCAGGGGATGGTTAAACGCGAGAATAAACGGGCTTCGTATAACCCAGTTTTATCACCTAATTGTTAACTATCAGCCGCATAAGAAATTTATACGGTGGATTGCGACTAAACACCGTTTAAGCTAAACGCCTTTCGAACAATCGCCCCAGATTTTAAGGATCCGGAGATTCTCATTTCGGCTTTTAAAGTTTCCGGAGATTCTCGTTCCGGGTCTTAAAGATTCCAGAGATTCTCATTCCGGGTCTTAAAGATTCCAGAGATTCTCATTTCCCATTCCCCGTTCCTTGATTTCCCGTTCCTGGTTTTAAAGATAGCCGAAATTTGAATAATCGCCTTTGTAATTATGCTAAAATAAGATAACATGAATAATTCCCTCCTATTGCCGGAAAGCTTAAGATTGTTACCCATTAAACAATAAATAGATAACAATCATTAAAATTTTAATCACGAATACTTGGGTCTATAATATTCGATGTTAAATACAGCAATGCGAGTAGTCTTGTATTTATTACATGTCTAGTTTAATGAATATTGAAATTTCAAAGTAAGGTTTATAGTTACAAAAAGCACTGAATATTTTTATACAACAAAACAAGTGGTATCATCAATCTGATATGTTCTGACTGAAGTGTACGCTTCCAACAAGTCAGATCGTTGATGGAACTTACAGCTGATAGCACTAACAGTATAAACACTGACTTAACACAAGTTATTTTACATAGGGCAAATCATTGCTCTTCGCAATACGTCGACGAAAACCAAAAAGTTCTTAACCACGGTGCTAAGCCTTCCAAAGAACTGATCATATTTTAATGAAATTATCAAGTCCCTCCTTATTAACTATACTAGAAATACATTGCATGCAAAGTCCCCTCGCCTAAAGCAATAAACATATATTTCCATCACTGAAGTGAAATGCTATAATACTCGTTTCTGCCGAATGATTGAAGTCGTAAAGTAAAATCCTATATTTTGGTACAATTACAAAGTCGACTCTCCAGCTATCAAATTCGATTATAATCATATTAATAAATTGTGCTACGAATAGTTTTATATACTACAATTTTTAGCGAAATTTCAATTACTTTTTAAACAGATTAACCTTTAAAAATAAATACTTTCCAAATCAAAATCATTTCAAGGAAATTGACGAATAAATTCAAGACTTACAAAATGCTTGCATGCTTTAAAATACAAAATCTACCCACTTACCTGTTCAACAGCACTTCAAAAATGCCTCAAAATCGTAGTTTTTTTTACCGTATATTTGAATGAAAGTTTTTCTATCCGAGGGCATCTTTTACATTGTATTTTATTGAATTTTACGAATCAATTTTTCGTATATTTTTAAGACCATCCAAATGAAAAATATTATTTAAAAGTTTTATAATTCAAAATATCAGTTATGCTGACGTGATGAAAATTTTAATTTAGCTAATCGCACGTTTGTAAACGTTTGCTAGTTACCAGTTTTAACTCGTCTTAAACTCACGCAGGCGCATAACTTACAAAAACGCCCAACGTCCATGACATAATAGCAGACAACTTTCATTTCGCATTTGCATTCCCGGGCGTAATTAAAATCTCCGGGCGGAATTAGTGCCCTCGCCCGGTGCTTCGCACCGGCTCGGGGATAAATCCCAGCATTTTTAATCTATCCCGATGATGACTACAAGCAAGTTGAGAAGTAGATTGAATAAAACTACAAAATTTTTTTATTTAATTTTATGAATCATATCAGGTTTGATGTTCGATCTCTTATCCCCAGCAGCGTAATTTACCCAGCGCATGATAACCACGCTCATTGAAACCGTCAAGTATACCTGTATCGCCAAATCTCAGTTCAGTAACAGGCAGCGTGTTCTTGTCTGTCAGGTATCCACTGTCTTCACGCCATGCGTAGTCATTCATGTCACAATTACATTTTTTTCCACCTGCACAGCTGTTGGTCATTCCACATGAACACTTTCCACTATCGACTGCCGCTCCACCCCAGTAAGTCATGTTTGAACCTTGACGTGATACCCACCATCCGTCGGAATCAGTCAACAACATGCTACCAAAACATTCATATTTTATAAACTGCTCACAATTCTTCGACTGCTTGATAATCGCGACAATCTGCTCCATGGAAATGTTATATTTAATCTTTCTTTTGTAAGAACCTGGAGGATTATATCCGTTAACTAATGTTCTCGATTCACTGTCATGTCCAATCTCTGTCACACCAACACCATTCTTTGAAACCATGTCACAAAATACTCGAACCGTGAGGTTTAGTCCTTCAGGCTTTATGGAATACTTTCCACTATCAGATGATGGATATTTTGTTCGTAAAATCCTGCACGATTTGTTGGCATCATTTGAATTTTCTGTAAATGAGGATAAAGGTTTTGTCACTACTAATGTGTTTAAAGATAATTTTAACAAATGTTCGTTTATTGGGTATGAAAGAATGATGAATTATGAATTCTTCTGTTTTAAGATGACTCAGCAAACAATG